CAAAGACACTGAAATTGAGAATAGGCTGACAGTGGCCAGAAGGGAGAGGGGAAGGGATTTCAGGGGAAAAGGGTGAAGGGTTTACAGGAACAATTATAAAGGACACATGGACAATAATGGGGGGGCGTGGAAATAGGAGGGAGGTGGGGAGGGCTGGGGTGTTGGGCTGGGGTGGGGGGGGGGGAAAGGAGAAAGCTGTACTTGAACAACAACAAAAAAACTCTAAAAACAAAATGAACAATATTTTACATTACTGATTTACTCAATGGGCTTAATAGTATTTTGGAAAAGGCAGAAGACATAGTCAGTAACTCTGAAGAGAAATTAACAGAATTTATCCAGTGTAAAGAACAATGTAAAAAAATAACAGAACTCCAGGCACCTATGAGACATCAAATAGTATAATATGAATGCAACTGTAGTCTCAGAAGGAGAAGAGCATGAGACTAATGTAGAAAAATATGTTAAGAAATAAAGAACAAAATTACACTATGCACCTTTTTAAAAAGCAAATGCTTGGCCTCATTCTCTACTACCGAATCAGGTTATGCATGAGTGAGACTCAGACATACTTATTTTTAAAATAACCACTCAGCTTGAGAAGATATGAAGAAGCAAGGAATTAAGTAGTATAAGGAGGATAGATCATTCTGCAGTGTCCACCTGCTCAAATTCAGTGACCTCAGTTATTACTCTTTTTGCCACTAAGTAGTTATCTTCTATCGCTCCTTGGTCCTCAGTGTTTTCGTCTGTAAAATGAGAGGGTTGGATAAATTATCTAAATATTTAGAGCTTATTATTTGCCTGATGCTATGCCAGGTACTGGGGATGTAATAACTAAAGAGAGTCCTTGACTTCACAAAAGTTATAGTTCACGAGGGTGAAGGGGACTGATTCAAGTTAAGATTTAAAAAATGGCTCAGATGGATAGGAAGTTCAGGTAGAAAAATATGATGAATATGGTGGTAAACACTCACTATCCATGGTGAGCCTCTTTATCCTAGAGACTATAAAGCTGAAAATAAGAACAGAACAACCAAAAAGATACTCTATGCTTTCCAGAGCTGCTTGCAGCTAAGGTTCAGGATGTGATTCGGTTTTACCTCTGGCTTCACTAAAAGGCTGACATGAGGGTGGTGAATCTTCCTGTTTTTGCTACTAGACTGCATGTATGGCACTGGGTACTTTCTGCAGTGGTGTTCCAGGATCCAGTCCCCAGGTTTGTGGGAGCTGAGAAGCAGTGTGTATGTCTTCTTAGTCATTTGTTGGTTTGTCTGTGCCAGATGTGACATAACTTCACACACTACAGTTGTATAAGTGGCAATTCCTGGACTCTGACTTCCATGTGCTGTATTTCCAAATCTTGATTCCCACTGCCATGATTGTGGTACAGGTAGCAGCTTTATGTGAGCTAGTTCTATAGAGTGGTTCTGGACTAGACCTCACTCCCTGAGTACTTCTTAATATTTTATAAACACCTAATATCCTGTGTTGAGTCCTTTTATTCCTAAAATAGCTAAAATGCTTCTTGTTTCCTACAATTAAATCCAGCCTGAGAGAAATAACTTCATAGAGTTTTAAAGATTAAATAAAATAATCTGTCCGCTAGTTAATTGTGGGCACATAGTAATTACTTAATCAACAATTATCACATATTATTATTTAGTTAAAATAAAGGAATGGAAGAGGTGGCATAATAAAAAATTATAATCAGAATGGTATGTTTGTTTTTAAGAATTTTGAGACATAGACATTATGGACAATGACAAAATCCAAGTAGTGGCTAGTAGGATTGAAGATTGAGAGGAATACAATTGAAATTGAAGGAGTTATGGAAGAGAAGTTTCAGTTATTAAAACATCCATTCTTACAGATAAATAGTGAAGTACCTACACTTGGAAAAGCAGTAATATCTCCATTTTTTTTCAATTCCAAATTACTCCTGAGTACAGTGATTTCTCCTTCACTACTGTGCTTAATCTGTACTTGCTGAGGTTATTGCTGCTGGCTTTTAAGATGCAAAAATCTAACATTTATTTTCAATCCTGACCTTGATCTCCTGTGGCATTTATCACTGCTGGGCATTCTTGCCAGCTGAGAGCTCCCTTTTCTTTCTACCTGATACACATTTTTATTATTTTTATTATTTTTTAAAATTTTATTTTAATCATTGTTCCACCTGCACCTGTCCCCCAGTTCTTCCTAGGTAATCATCACTGGGTTCTCATCCTCTATATTTGGGTCTTAGATTTTTGGGTTTCAATTTCTGCCATGGTCACCTTCTGTTCTTGCTTTGATTACATTCAAATGGAGATAGCTCATAGACCCATCCATATACAGATATACAAATGGCTCCTAAACCTCTTTCTTCCACTTTGATCTTTCTTTCAAAATCCAGATACTTTGTCCAATAGTCTAATATGTATTCTACTTAGACATTCCCATCCCTACAACTCACAACAGTCACCATGTTTAGGGCAACTTTTTATCTTAGTTCAAAATCTGATCATTCTTTTCTCTCTCCCTTCCTTCCTTCCTTCCTTCCTTCCTTCCTTCCTTCCTTCCTTCCTTCCTTCCTTCCTTCCTTCCTCTCTCTCTCTCTCTCTCTCTCTCTCTTCCTTCCTTCCTTCCTTCCTTTCCTTCCTTCCTTCCTTCCTTCCTTCCTTCCTTCCTTCCTTCCTTCCTTCCTTCCTTCCTTCCTTTCTTTCTTTCTTTCTTTCTTTCTTCTTTTTCTTTCTTTCTTCTTTTTCTTTCTTTTTCTTTCTTTTCCTTCTTTCCTTCTTTCCTTCCTTCCTTCCCTCCTTCCTCTCACTCTCTCTCTCTCTCTTTCTTTCTTTCTTTCCTTTCACATTCTCTGTTCTTTCTAACAATACCTTTGCATAAAGAAGCTGGGATAATGAAAGTCCTATTCCCTCTCCATATTCGAAATTTGTCACTACATTCTGTGTATTAGAACAGCTTAAAATCATTGTTTTTGTGTCCTTTTGCTATCATCACTATACTGCCTTAGTTCATGCTCTATTTAGCCTTAGTTTATAGAAACAATTTCCTAAAATTTTTCCTACTTTTTGGATTGTTCCATTTTTAATTCTTTCCCATATGACAATCAGATAGATTACTCTCTAAGAAAAATGTAATCTTATTCCCTTACTTCAAAAGCTTCCAATATTCATCTCTTTCCATGGTTTTCTATGACTGGGCTCCTGCCTGTCTCACTAGTTTCATCTTTATCATTCTCCTATAGCCACATCTTCGCCAGAGGTTCTGGGCTATTTTATGCCTCAGAACTGTTGTCCCTGTTGGACCCGGAGTGTTCATTTTGGTGCCTGAAATATGAAATATTCAAATGTTGGCTACCAGTACAATACATATTTTAATTTTAAATCTTATTATGAGCTATTACCCAAGAAGTATTAAATAAAAATACAAGCCTTCTGAGAATTTAGGCTCTAAAATTATGCTTCAGTGAATTATAGTAGAGGCTGTCCTAGTTACAGTAGAAGGATAGAATGACTCTTAAGCTAGCCTGGCTAAACATTAATATGGTTAAATATTTGTATGTACATCTTGAAAGAATGAGTCAATTGAAAATTGGAGTGGTCATTGAAAGCGAGGCCCAGAAATCGTGCTTATCTAAGCCCATCTAGGAAAGAGGTTTACACAGTCCAAAGATTTAAGCTTTTTGGTTTGTGTTCTGAAGAAGGTGACATCACATTATTGGAGGCTTCACCCATCTGGCTTTTATTAATTCCCATTCCATTTGGTAGCCATCATTCAACCATAATTTATTTTTTTATGTAAGGTGTTTATGGAGAAATAATTTAAGACTTCTAGAAAGTTATACTTTACATTATAGTAATCAAATGCTTGTTCTGGAATTATTGAATTGCACCTTTTAAGATTGATTTGTTAACCCTGCTTCAATGACAGAGAATGAGGTCTAAAACTTGGGCAATTAAATCTTTGCATATAAATTAAGAGTTAGCATGTTTGTCTCCTCTATTATCATGATTATGAGCTTTCAGAGGCCATGGGCTGCATCTTATTTGTGCATGACCAGGGCCTCTCACAGTTCCAGCAAAGAGCAGGAACTTAAATATTTGAATGAATAAAATGGACTCAATTGTCCAAGAAGTCACCCTGTAGAGTGGAGCTTCCTGAAGAGAGAGTAAAAGATTTGAGAGAGAGTTCAGAAGTGGGCTTGTGAGATAGAAGAAGTGGTAATTAGCATGAGAATGTGAGCTTCTGATATGAATAGTGAGACTTGCCCTCTGGGTGGTTGCTAAGGATGACAAGTAAAATAGGCATCCCTGAAACTAACCAACCTTCCAGTTTGTTTGGTGTGGTGCTGTTTCTCTGTTGATGAAGTGGAAGCATAGCAGATATTGGAAGTGACATGACACTTGTTGTTCCCAAGCCTAGTAAGTATCCTTTTGAATAGAATGTCTGTCCTTTGGGAGAGATGGTCCCCTGTAGGTGAAGAATTTTTTCTGCCTGTTCACATCTTCCTACCAAATTCCTTTATGGCCCAGCCTCAGTCTTCTTCTATGATGTTTTCCTTCCAGTCTGCATAAGTCTCTGTCCATTCAACTCCTATTAGATAATATTTGTAACATTCATTTTAGCCTGTTAAATATTCTCTGTCACCCTGGCTGGTGTGGGTGAGTGGATTGAATGCTGGTTTATGAACTGAAGCGTTGCTGGTTTGATTCCCTGTCAGAACACATTCTGGGTTGCTGACTGGGTCACCATTTGGGTGCATGCAAGAGGCAAACACACACGGATGTTTCTCTCCCTCTATTTCTTCCCCTCTCTCTAAAAATTAAATAAATATTCCCTGTCAACTCTTCTGTACATATATATCAGTTAGATAATAAACTAGTTAATGTCCAGGGACCTAAGCACCACATTGGTTTCTTGTATCCCCTCACAGTTTACAAAATGGTGTCAATTAGGAATATAACTGATACTAAAAATGCTCTTTAAACTTTATTTTTTAGGATTGTAAAGAGATTAAAGGAGAGCGCTTTGCTTATTGGGAAAGAAAAAGAAAGCTATCAGTGAGCAATGTCTCGGCAGAGGACAGAGGGAACTATTCGTGTAAAGCCAGACTGACTCATGCAGGAAAACAATACATGGTTTTACATAGAATTACTGTGAATGTCAGTAAGTATGTGTGTACTAATTGCAGAACTTCCTCTCAGCTCTGCCCTGTGTGAGATACTTTCTGACTTAAAAAGGAGTGATTTTTTATCTTGATTTTCCTGAAGTTTAGCAGACTCTCAAACTTGTCATTAATAGAATCAGAAGGTAGACCGAATGAGGCAAAAGGGCATGAGCAGTTTAATTTCCTCACTTGAGAAAATAGAATACTCAAAATTCTTGGTCAATTGTAATTGAAAAAAAAAGAAAAAACACAAAACTCTTGGTTTATTTATGAAAATTGAGATCCTATATGTAGAGTAGCTACTAGGGTGCCTGTCCAAGAATAGGTATTTAGTTAGTGGTGGATATTTTGTCACACCATGCGTCCACTTTTTTCATGACAAATTTTTTTTGAAGGACTGCTCTGTGCCATGTTTTGGTTTGTTTGTTTGTTTTATGCTGTTATTACATTAAAGTAGTTGGGAATGTATTGTGATTCTAATGCAATGTCACATGAGTATGATTTCTTAGCAGAAAATGTTGGACATGGAGGAATAATCCCTAAAATAACATATCCAACAAACAATACAATTGAAGCACAACTTGGTGAGTAAAGTTATGAAAGCCAATGAAATCACTAAGGGCAAAAATAAATATGACCTCATATCCTAGTGAATTTTTTGAATTTCAAGGATGAAGACAAATTTTATTCATATCCAGTTTCCAGCTTTGAATGTACCTGGGCTCACCAAAAGAGCTATTGGAATAAAAAGTCTAGAGAGCTGGATCCTTGGAAAGCTGTGGTATGAGAGGTTGGCAGTGAGCACTATGGGTCTAAATCAGAGATTTTCAACCAGTGTGTGTGCAAGAATTTTTAAAACATGCAATAGTTGACTATTGAATCAGGGGCACTTTTACTTGTCAAGTAAGAAAATGACAACAGCTAACACAGCAGCAATGGTCTAGTGTGAATGAATCAAAATTACACCTATTCATGTTAGTTCAGCAAAAAGTATATTTTCTCATGTGTGGCAAAATTTTAGTAATCAGCTTATGTGTGCCATGAGATGAAAAAGGTTGAAATTGCTGGTTTAAATGATTACTGTAAATCTATTTATGCAAAAGCAATGAAAATGTAAAAATAAGTCCTGAAAGTGATCATACATAATATAAAACTACTACTATAATGTTGGTCAAGAATTCTGAATTATATAATCTTGCACTGGAAAGTATATTTAAAAAGTAGGGATAGTTATCTTGTTATATTACTTATTTTACACAGTAAGGGGCCAGTAAACATTGCCTCAGTTTGTGATCTAAGGGGAGAAGGAGCTCAAATTATTTTTTAAAATTTAAAGGTAATCACTAGTAAAATAAAAACATGTTGAGTACTTTCTGAAGGAAAAAATGTAAATTGAACAAATTCTCAAGTTGAGTCAAATATTAAAATATGATTACATGCTGTTCTCAAAAGATATAGATCTAAAAATACATGACCTAAAAGATTAAATATAAATTCATAAGCATACTATGTCTTGCAAAATATTAGCACAAAGAAATCAGATTGGCAACATTAATCTTTCAATCTGATAAATATCTTTCAATGCCAAAAATTATATGACAAGTTGAATTATTTGATACTAATACAATTACAATACCTCCCAAAATATATATATATATATATATATATATATATATATATATATATTTGTCAAATAGCAGTGCATCAGAATATTTGAAGCTAAAACTCTCATATGTAAAAAAAAACACAACAATACAGTTTTAAAAATTATAATGGCAGATTTTACCATACTTTGGATTTGACAAATTTCTTAGTCAATTAAGGATCTAAAAGATTCTAGTAATAAGCCCTGGTCAGTAGCTCAGTTGGTTAGTGTCATCCCAATATGCCAAGGTTTTGGGTTCAATCCCTGGTCAGGGCACATACAAGAATCAACCAATGAATGCATAAATAAGTGGAACGACAAATTGATATTTCTCTCTCTCTTTTTTGCTACCTTTCTCTCTCTCTCTTTCCAAAATAAAAGATCCTAGTAATATGATATGAATAATATATTAAATAAATCACAATCATAAATAACTATGAAAAACTCAGAGTCCCAAGAGAGGAAATTAAACAGACCATATGGTGCAATCACAATGTAGTAAGTCTAGAAATTTACAACTAAAGTTAAAATAATAAACTCCACAAAAATAAAATTAACTAATTTTAAAAATCAAGCAACAACAAATATGTATTCTAATTATTTGCTTTGCTGGGTAAATTTAATTCAAAGCCATAGTTACTGATTATTTAGAAAATAATGGCAGTGAAATCATGTCAAGCTTTATGGAATGTGAGCAAGGCTAAACTCTAAGCAAGGTATACATATCATCATTTTTAGTAAGTGTAGAAGTAATTAAAATGCATAAACTAACCATTTAACTCTATTTTTAAAAAAGCCACTGTGGAAAACAGTGTGGAATTTCCTCAGAAAACTAAAGGTGGAACTGCCTTTTGATCCAGTGATTCCACTGCTGGGATTATACCCTGAGAATCCTGAACCACCATTCAAAAGAACCAATGCACCTCAATGTTCATAGCAGCACAATTTACAATTGCCAAGTGCTGGAAACATCTTAAGTACCCAACAGTAAATGAGTGGACCAAAAAGCTGTGGTACATTTATGCAATGGAATACTACCCAGCAGAAAAAAGGAACTCCTACCCTTTGCAACAGCATGGATGGAACTGGAGAGTATCACACTAAGTGAAATAAGCCAGGTGGTGAAAGACAAATACCATACATTCTCACCTACTAGTGGAACCTAATGAACAAAACAAACAAACGAGCAAAATAGAACAAGAAACATGGAAATAAGGAACAAACTGACAGTGAACAGAGGAAAGAGGGAAGGGAGATGAAGGTTGGGGGAGTGAAGGGGAAGGGTCAAGTCAAGGAACCTTGACTAAAGTTTCCCAGTATAAAGGACCCATGGACATGGACAGCAGGGTGAGAATTCAGTGTGGGAGGGAGACAGGGGAGTGGAGGTGGGTAGGGCAAGGGAGAGCAATGGGAGAAAAATTGGGACAATTTTAATTGAACAACAACTTTTTAAAAAAGGCAACTAAATAACTCTATAGAAAAAATAACAGAAGTTAAAAAAAATGAATTTATTGAACGACAAGTTCCACAGTTGGTTCTGGGATAGAAGGGCTTGGGGCAGTGTGGTGGGGGTGAGGGGTGTGGGAATAAAAAGAGAAGATAGAGAAACCTCGAGCAAATATAATTCCCCGCAAGTATACAAACTCTGAAGAAAAAGAAATGAGAAAGCTTAGAAAGCAATAAGTGGAAAGCAGATGAAATCTCTTTTAAAGGATTTGGGCCTACATGTTTTAGTAAAGGTCTTGTAAACTTTCAAGGAAATAATAATTTTCATAATAGAGGATATTTGTCTACATATCACTCACTATGTGATTTCTCTAGTGTATTTCATAAACACCTAGAAAAGATCAGTATTCCTGTTATTAACTCTCTTAATTAACTTTGTTTGCCCTTCCTGTCTTTGAAAACTCTAGCCAATGTGTTTAGACAATAAAGAGACAAGAGATGTAAGCCTTGAAAGGGGAAGGTGAACATATAATTATTTTAAATGATCTATGTGTATCTACTTGGAAACTCTAAGAAAATTCTCTGAAAAACTATAATCACTAGCAATTTTTCAGTAAGGTATTCTAATATAAAATACACTTTTAAAGCTAAAAGCATTTTTATATGCCTGAAATAATCATATGTTATATAACTGGGGAAAATGACATAACTGGAGAAAGGAAAATATAGTATTATATGTGATGTTGGTATAACTTGTTAAATTTGCAGTATATTTTGTTTATTCTTTACCTCATATCGGACACAAAATACATTTTTGATGATTTAAAGATAAAGACAAAATTTATTTAATGTTAGAATGATGTACTTTTGAAACACAAAATCAGTGGAAGAACTCACAAAAAATCAAAATATTAGACTAGCATAAAAAATGTAAACATCTGTGTAGAAGAAAACTGGTAAGGCTGCAAGGTTACATGTACCTTACATGTAACCTTACAAGCTTACATGTTATTTCTGTCCAGTAAGGTAGATGAACATTGACCTCAGGAGTATATTTTTAGTAATGAAAAGGCATTCAAGGCTCAAAAACAAGATGTATTTGTTAACCAGGTCATTTCTGGTAGAATTTTTATTTAATTTTTGTGAATTTGATTTTTATAGGCTCTACCCTTATTGTAGACTGCAACATAACAGACACAAGGGATAATACAAATCTACGATGTTGGAGAGTCAGTAGCACATTGGTGGATATTTACTACAAAGAGTCCAAACGAGTCCAAGAAGGAATCGAGTAGGTGTTTTTCTGGATTCTCTGAAAGCTAGCAACCTTTTTTCCATTTAAGTGATTTGGTGTTAGCAAGGCTCTTTTAGGTGGTTTGCGCTACCTCCTCATTACTACTTTTGGCTTTGTCTTTCAAAGAACTTCTCAGTGTTACATGTGGGCAAGCAACTGCTGCAAAGAAGTGTGAGATGCTCAGATTATCAATACCCCTTAACTCATAATTTGAGATAAAGCAAAGTGTGGATGGAGTATTGGCCTATATTCAACAAAGTTTTTGTCAGCTGCTGCTTAAAACTGATCACATTCCCTGTTAGTCATATGATGAACCATAGGCCTTCAGGGCTTAAGTTGCAAAACAGGCAGCAAAACAGGGATTATGCAGGGGTGCATAATCATTAGTGGATACAGTGTACGAACTCAGTTTATGATGATATGAATTGAGTGGTGTAAAACAAGACTCATTAAGTCAGAGGGCAGAACTTCTGTTGGGCCTTGCAGTGTAGCTAAGTTAGGATAAGTGGACAGGGAGAGGAGAACGTCCTTCAGGGCTAAAGATGGTGTCTATGAGGGGGGACCCAAAAAATCCTGTAATTTATTTATAAAGAATTATATTTATTCTTACATGTTTAAATTTCAGTCACTTTCAAAGCATTCTTCATTTGATACAATACACCTATTGAGATTTTTTTCCCACGGCTCAAAACAGTTTTTGAACTTGTTGATTTCGATGCCTTTTATTGCTTCCACTGTTTTTTTCTTTCACCTTTTCCACATAGGCAAAAAATTTTTCTTTGAGGACTTTTTTTTCATCTGGGGAAACAAGTCACTCAGGGCAAGATTGGGTGAATAGGGAAGGGGGGACATGGGGAACATGCCACTTTTGGTCAAAAACATGCCGCTTTTAGCTGTGCTAAACACTCAGCATGGTGTGTGCAGGTGCGCTCCTAAATCACCCATCATGAAATGGGCAAATGAATTGAATGAGTCTCCAAAAATTTCACTGAAGCTGAATGCAGCCTCTTGTATCGCCAGCTGTTACACTGATACAGATGGGTTCCTAGAACACTCACCTACTGTACTACAAGGGGTCTCCAGAACATTTGTATCCCAGCTCCTTGTTGTAATTAACAGAACCATGCTTCCTTGTCACATTGTCCCAAAGATAATGCAAATTGGGAACTACACAATACACACACCTCATTGAGACAATGAAGTATTCATAGCATAAAATGATAGCCTACAGTGTCTCTAGGAAAGAACTTTATTCTCCAGACTAAAGATTATACAATATGTTGGGTGCAATATGACTTGCATATTAATGATTGGCTCTTTTCTTTTACAGAACCCACATTTCTGTTCAGGAACATAATTTTTACACAGTGAACATAACCTTTCTAGAAGTGAAAATGGAAGATTATGACCATCCTTTCACATGCCATGCTGGTGTGTCTGCAGCATACTTTATTTTAAAACCTCCAGGTAAGGTTCCTGTGGGTTAAATACTGTTCAGAGTGTTTAAAATGATGTCAAGGAAAGATAAAAAACCTTACAAGTTTGGTGTGAGACAGCAGAGTGGTAGTAAACCAACAAACTCACTATGAAATCCAGGGAAGAATTAATGTCATGTCTGATAACACTCTTGCAATCAAGGGGGCACTGCAATGCAGTATGCTTTGAAAGTGCCATATTAATATACAATGAGGTCTTATGCATCAAAGTCCTTGAAAACAGAATTGTTCCTTTATTAAACCTCATTACTCAACATTTATAATCATGTGCTTCTAATTTGTGCTTTTAGATTATTATAAATAATTTCATATGAAAATAAAATATATATATTTCATTCTTGTAAATTTGTAAAATTTTCTGTATAGGCTGAATTCTGATATTAAGCAAAGACCTTCAAATTTAATGTATATACACAAATTGCTCTCTTAACCTTGTGCAGAGTATTTGAGTATCCATTGCAGGTAACAGAACCAGAGGGTAAATAGTGATGGATATAATCATAATCTGGAGAACAGCTTTAAATTCCTAATGTATCAGTGGAAGTGTTTGAAGCACCTTGTAGAATGTTGACATGTGGCTTACCAAGACAGTTTTTCCTCCTTGATACCATCATCTCTTTTCTTAGCTACTTACCATGCAAGAGAGAGAGGGCTTGGTTTTGCCAGTATCTCTGAATAATCAGTTAAACAGGTGTTTGCATGTATCCTACCTAAAGTCCTACCAGAAATGTTTTTCTAGAACTCAACATAAAACATTAGTGGAGTAGGTGGTGTATGGAGCTATCGAATGTGCCTTTTCCCTTGCCAAGTTCCTGACCTCATGAGTGTCCATCACTTCCCTTCTGATAGCAATGAATTGGGATATCTCCACAGTAGCTTGCAGCCCTGACCTCACTTCTGTGACCTGGAAGCCAGGGTCACTCTGTCCCCAGCTGCTTTAATTGTGAGTGATCATGCAGCATCTCCTCTCCTCATGTGGACCCATGGGAAACCCTCTTAGGTTGCAACAGGTAAAAGAAGCCTTAGGCTCATTAGTCACCACTGTCCATTTTTCCTTCTTTCAAGGGCTTTCCATTCATAGAAAATGATTTTTTATCATATTCCCCTCAATCACTCTGTGCATCTTCTCTCTCTCAGTGACACATCTGGATTGTTCTTGAGGTTCTATTATCAGTGCTGCTCTTTCTGTATTCTCATCACTGATAATCTCCCTACTTGCATGGCTTCAATGGTCATTTCTGTGCAGGTGTGATTCCACATCTCCAACTATATTCTCCTTTCCCATGTGGCAGCCCCACACTTCCAGCTGCTTACTGGACTGATTTTGAAATTTGTATGAAAGAGAATTATAGTATGTTTTCTTTTATGTGTTGCTTCTTAGGTTTATGGGATTCATTGCTGTATCAGTGATGTGGCATGTAGCTATAGTTTATTTTTATTGCTGAATCTTATTCCATTGAATAACTAAATCACAATTTATCTATTCTACAAATATGTCATTATTTGAGTTGTTTTCAGTTTGGAGCTATTCATAAATAACACTGCTATGGAAATTCCTTTATGTGTGAGCTGATATTCATGGATAAGCATTCCTTTATGATATATCATTAGGAGTACAATTAATTGCTACAGAGAGTACTCAGGGTCTCCTCAACCCCAGAGAAAAGAAGGGAGCTGACTATGGGAAGCCTTGGAGACTGCACAAGACCTATAATATTTATAATTGAAATCTGCCTCAACATAGAAGTTTGAGGTTTTTTGTTTAGTAACCTTGGCTGAAAATCACCAACATAGATTTTCATGTCAGTGTTGTCTTATAGATATTGACTACCTGGAAGCACTGTGTTCACAAGGATTCTAAGGCAAAGTCCAGGCTCAGAAGAATGATTCTGTTATCATTTAACCTGCCAATCATACAGGAAAGAGGAAGGGTAGTTTGTCTCCTTTGGTGTATGTCAGTAAAGAAACTTGTGCGCACCATATCTATCTTTGCTTCTATCCATACTTTTTTCAAATTTCACATGCAATGTGTTTTCAGACATGTTCATTTTATTTTGTTTTCCCTGAGTTCTTATGAACATTGCCCTCTTAAATCCAAGACTCTTGTTGGTTTACTTGTGGCCAGAGGTAAGGGTATAGCTGTTTCATTTGACTTCCTTATTTTTGTTGAAGATACATCCAGACTAAATCTTATTTAGTTGTCTGAAGCAGGGTTACTAGAAAGCTGTTTGGATAAGGTGTACCTCCTGTGAATTTCTTTTAATCACTACTTTCAGCTCCTATCTCAGTTTAATACTGGTAGTAGTCACATGGACCCAAACACCATCCTTTATAGTGTCGTCAACAAGCATCTGGTGTCTCAATAGTGAGTGTTCCACTATTTCAATTTCAAAGTTCATACTCTCTCTGAAATCACACATTCATTTTCAATTTCCATTCATCACCTTTTAGCTCATTTACAGAACTAAAGATATCAACAGTCTTAAATGCAATAAATGACCAATTCAAGAATTTCAGGCCATCACTCCTGTCTACTTATCAGGAGCTTTTGAATCTCATAAATTTTGGGGGGCATGGTCTTCTTATCATGACCGTTTACAAAACCAAGACCCTTTGAGTGTACATTAAGGATTCCCAGGCATGGGTCCTCCCAAAAGGAGAGGTGGCATTGGTGTTCCAAGAGCTTGGAAACGGCAAAGACACATGGAAAATGGGAGGGAAGGGAGACTCCATGTAAGAGTTAGAAACTAGAGGTTCAAACAAATAAGGCACCAGCATGCAGAGCAGATCCACTAAGTTGCACTGAGACTTAATGGATTGATATATTTCTGGCACAAAATGTGCTTATACATATTGTGTTTCATTGTGCCACTTATTTGAAAACATGCAGTAGTAGTTAGTAATGTCTTGGCCTCAAAGTGCTTGCAACGTGGCCTAGGGCAGGTTGTGATAAGCTCTTTAATGAATATTTTAGAAGTGAAAGTGCACTGAGAATTCAAAGAAAAGTGGCCCTCCCCTTAAACATACCTTCTACTGAGGACTAGAGGGTCAGGAAGGGGTTCATGAAGAAAGTGGGTATTTGGTGGGTTCTAAGAATAAGGAGGAGTTCTCTTCCTCTCACTTCCTTCCCCTTTTTGAATTCTTTTTTTCCTAGAGCCTCTTTCTTTGGCAGCACAGGTTGGGGTTGTGGTAAGGAAGAAAGCTGTGCTGTTCCTCTCATCAGATATGTAGGAAGGAATGCATTTTTGCAGACTTGGAGTTACAGAGGAACTGGCTCTGCTTTTGGTCATCATCTCCTGCCCACAACATTCCCCATAACTGCTCTGAAGTATGCTCACAAAGCTGAGCAGGACACAAACCCCCTTCCTGAGACCATGTCTTGCAGACAGGCACCCAGCCAGATTCTGTTGGCACAGGGAGGTTGGGGTGGCAATTTGGCTCTTGGTAGTCTTCTAGAGCCAACAGAGATCCAAGAGAGGCAACTAATGGCTCTTTATTTATGACATGAGTCCTGCTGCTCAATTTTGAGTAACGGGGGAAGCAGTTTCAATAACATAATCGAGAATGTGTGGCAGTACCACCTGGGGAACTTTTCCAACAGTGTGCTAGGCTTCCCATCTGAGTGCTGATTAAGTAGGACTTGGCCATGTGTGTTTTGACAGCAGTTCTCATGAGATTGGAGCTATACAATATCTTCCTCTGGGTACTAGGCTTCTGCAGAAGTTCTCTCCTCAGGTTCCCAAGGGTACTTTGCTTTCTAAAATTCATGGGTCAGACCAGATTATTCTACTCTCATATCTACTATTTAACTATAAAGAGATATTTAAGCAGTATCCTCATTGATGTCTAATATATTTCCATTTGACATTTGTAGTGTGATCTGTATAAGTGTGTAATTGACACTTTGTAATATTATTATTTTATTTTGCTGTCATTTGCAGTGCCAGATTTTCTAGCTTACTTCATAGGAGGGCTTCTGGCCTTTGCAGGTGTGGCTGTGTTTGTTATGTGCATCTACAATATTTTTTGGATTGACATTGCACTTTGGTATCGAAGTGCCTTTCAATCTACTGGGACCATAGAAGGTAAGTGAGGGGAAACACTGAAAATTTCCTCATTATTTCTATTCACTCATTTGTATTACCATTGTGAATATACTTCACTATGTTTTACTTAGCTTGCCTTTTGTTGTTGGCAAATTTAAAGGAAGGAAATCTCCCTGGAACTTTCCAGACTTCTGAGAAATGATTTCCTCAAGCCCACAAGAATTGTTTAGTCAAATCAGGCTTGCAGGCTGGTTGTGACTGAGTCACAAAATCTTCCAGGTCCCACTGCAATCATTGTGAGAATGGTTCTCACATCCAAGGGTGTAAGCAAAAGAAGACAATTTCTCCTTGAGAAAAGTGTTCTTTACCCAGGCGCATGCTCAGCACATGGGTGCCTGGAAAGAATGTGTGTTCTGGAGGGCAACCTGCTGCCTATGGTTACAGCACTGATACTTGGTGCCTTAAAAAACTTAAGTCTCTAACTCTCAGGCTGGGGAGAGACAGATCTGAGTTTGAATTGGAGTTCAACATTTACTCCCTGTGTGATCTTAGAAAGGTATTTATTTTTTTTCTCTTTCTTAGCTATGGGATGAAGAAAAGGAAGGGAGGGAGGGAGAGAGGAAACAGATCAGAGCCTGTGTCACACAGTGCTATGTGAGCAATTGAGGTGAAGTCCAAAAAAGCTCTGAGCAGGAACCTGGGACACTGGAGGGCTCCCTTAATGCCTGGAAGACAAAGCAGATGCCCCTGCTGGTTTGCCTGGAGGTTTCCGTTTCACTGGGGGAGTCAGCATCCTGTCAGCACTATTGTGCACAGAACTGCCTCACTGTGACCCTGAAACTCCAAGGAGAGAGCACTGTACATTAAAACCAGAAAAGCGGGCATTTGTGCTACCTGTCACCTACCAGACCCAATTAGCAGAGAAAGAGATTGAATCTTTATGGGTGCTGTATTCAGATGGCCAGCAATCTGAGAAGATGGTAGGTTTGTATCCCAACAGGCTGTCTTACATTTCCTTTCAAGCTAGTCCTTTGTATAAGGGGGTAAAAATGTAGGTAAGGGGTCTGCAATTTAAGGGAAAAAAGTGTAGGTAAGGGATTTGGAATTCAGGAAAGAGGTTAATCAGATAAAAGCTGCAGTCTGGCAATTTTCCTAACATCCTTTCATCCACTGACTGGTGATTTGTTTTATCTGTGTCCTGTGTCCTGTCCTGGGTGATTTTCTCTGTGTCCTGGGCTGTGAACTGTATCTCCCTGGAGCACAATGGTTCAGACACCACTTTGATTGCTTATGGTCTTTTCTGGAACACAAAGGTCAATCACTTGTGGCCTCCTGGAATCAGAGTGGGCCTTCCTGCAGTCTCTGAAACAATAGATTTTTACATGAATTAACTATTAGGCTTATAAACTATTACCTTAAACTAAAATTTTCCAACATTTGAGCCCCCCATTAATACCATTGTAATTTTAACTCTGTAATACACAGGGTGGGGCAAAAGTAGGTTTATGAAATGAATTTATTTTTATATTATTATTTATTATTATATTATTTTCCATACAAACAACTGTAAACTTACTCTTGCTCAACCATGTGTATTTGTCTCAGAATGGATATACTCTATTAAGGCCTTGAAAAAAGTAATAAGTCTGTTTGTAAGTGCCCTAATTAGATGGAAAAATAAATAGAAGCCTGAAAATGAATCTGTACAGCTCACATGCTTGGAGATGCACACATATACCTTTCAAGTTCAGAGACTTTCAATGCTAATAAGAGCAGAAACATGGGGAATATAGGTGTGAAACATGTTTGAGTCCCTGTTACAGACAAGGGCATTGTTTACACATAGTACCTGCATTGCTTATTTTTAAAAAAGGATGGTCAGAGTTGTTGCCTACATGTATGATAAAACACAGATGGCCTAACCTGGACTTGATTCTACAATAAATTTTAGAATTTAAAGTTGGAACCCCTTGAGCAAAAAGAAAGCAATCTACTTTTCCTTTGGTGACAAAATTCAGCTGTGGAATTCCAGCTTTGGGTGTTCAGTACAACCTGAGGAGTCTTGGGTACTGGGGACAGTCAGCTAGATGTAGGGTTTCTGTTTGCCTCCAAAGTCCCTGCAGAGGCCACTCCTTGTAAGCCTGCTTGTGACTGAGCTCCAGCTTGCATCTGGTTGAGAAAAGACTTCAGTGAGCCACCACTTATCCTTTCTGACACATAGATACGAATGGCTTGGCTGTTCTCTGTCTATTGACTGAAAGGGCATTTCATAGACTTAGGTGGTGTTCCCAGAATTCTGGCCCCATGATGTTTGTCACTCCCTGACTCACTGCAGCTCCTGAGAGCATGAGTAATGAGTGGGTGGTGAAGTTGCCTGTTAGTGAGGTGAAGTTTAGCAGGAAGAGAAAAAAGGAATAGTGACTCACCCTGAGCTAGTAAGGCTGAGCAGAGGAGAGGTTCAGGGAACCCCACCCTCTGCTGAGCCTGAACCACAGGCCAAATTCAGAACCAGTGGGCTGAGGATTTGAAAATAGGAACCTACAGTCAGTCAGTGGTCCTCTTTCTTCTTCTTCTTTTTTTAATCCAGAAAAGTTTATGTGCACTTTATGATTAAATTTTCAACAGCTCAGCCTATGAGAATTATTCTGTAATATGCCTTGGAATGCTGGCTTCAACAGTGACTTAGTGATGATATTGGAAGATAAGTCCCATATGCTGTCTCCAGCCTTGCCTTCCTGGAGGGTAATTTCTGGTTATTTGGGAACATGTGGAGTAATGGATGGCAAATACAGATGAGAAAGATGTCCTTCTTGTGATAAAGTGTCATTCTTATGATAAAGGATTTATCCCATAGATTAGTCAGGCTTTATAGGTGATTACTAGTTATGTGTGTGTAACTCACAGTTTTACTGAGTTACCAATAGGCCTAGTTAAAGCTCCTGAGTTCTGTATACTCTCTGTTAAGTCTTGGAGATGCTTTATACGTCCTCTTGCCAGATGTGCATATGCATACAAAAATATAAGGATCAGTTTACAAATCTCCTCAAGCAATGTATATACTCCTCACCTTATTTCAAATAAATTTGTGGAGAAAGGTTATATAGAGCAGAACAATTAAAAACAAAACAAAAATAGGTACAATGAACATAGGGAAACAAAGGAAGAATGATAAAATAAAGCTGGGGTAGAGTTCATGACAAATGTTGGTGAGGTTTTAAAGATGAGCTTGTTTTAGAAGCAAAGCACAAACTACTAGAGGATTCATTACATCCTGTTCCTAGAAACCCTTCTGTTGCTCCTGAGAGCACATGGCCAGTTTGGGGACAATCTTAAGAAACATTTTTTCCCCTTCCACCTCCCCTCTGGTTACTGTCAGTTTGTTCTTAATTTCAATGTCTCTGGTTACATTTTGCTTGCTTGTGGAAAAGGGGGAAAGGTTTTTGAGAACATCTATAAAGGACACATGGATAAAACCAAAGATGGGCAGGATCAAGGATTGGAATTGGAGATGGCTGGGGTCAGTGGGGGGAGTAGTGGGGGAAAAATAGAGACAACTGTATTTGAACAACAATAAAAAAAGTAAAAAAAATCCTTGGTTGTTGAACTTCAGAAAAAAAGAAACTTTTTTTGTGTGTGTGATGAGTTCTAATTTTTAAAGGATGTGATGCAGTGAACCTTGTGTGCAAAAACATTTCCAAGATCAATGTAATAGGTTTCGTGCGGCTTTTCTTCTAGTGTCTTCTGTGCATGTTAGCGCTATAGCACCAAACTTCATGCTATTCAGTAAAAGCACTTACACAAAGGCAAAAAGATTGCCTAATTTTTCCACTCGTCCACTTGGATCAGTTTTAAAATTTAGCAATATCATATCAGGAGAAAGTAGGGAATTGAATAATTTTTATGCAATCTTTTATAAGCTCACCTACACCTAGGCATATTATTTTCAAATTACAGAAAAGCAAAGATAAGGAAAAAAAATCCCAAAAGAAGCTAGAGGTAAAAAAAAATACCTACCTATAGAGAACAAAAGTATAAATTATGCTTGACTTTTCAAAAACCATCAAGCAAGAAGAGAGTGGAGTGAAATATTTTAATTATTAAAAGCATGAGATGCCGAGAGTGGCAATGCTTGACAAGTCAGCCACTGGGCATGCTGAAGCAAAAAGGACATTATGGTAGAAACTCAGATTTTACTTTGTTAATGTAAGAAAAATTTGATAGGAATAATTCCATGAGCTTATGCCATTCCTTTTTCAGATGGGAAGCTCTATGATGCATACGTCTTATACCCCAAGCCTCAACAAGAAAGCCGGAGCTATATTGTAGACACACTGGTTCTGAAGGTTCTGCCTGAGGTACTGGAAAGGCAGTGTGGATATCAGTTATTTATATTTGGCAGGGATGAGTTTCCTGGGCAAGGTATGTTTTAAGTGAGGTAGAGAAACAACAAGTGAATTTTAAAAAGTAAAGGAAACTTTCTCTTCTTTCACTTTACAAATGGTGGATTCTGCTTGCCTTCTCCACAAAACTGCAAGGAGTCTTTCATCTCTCCAGCCCTTAGCCCTTGAGCTGAGGAGGTTAGAACCAAGTTCCTTTTTCTCATCAAATTTATCCCTGCAACAGGATAACTGGGATCCTGGTTGAAATAATGTGACTATCATTTTGAGCAAGATATGGTTAACCCATTCATGTGAACTGGTGGTGGATAACATAGTCTTGGTCAAGAGACTGAAAGTGATCACTTGCCCTGATGTCCTTGAGACTAACTGCTGAGTATTTTCTGTCAGTTTGAATATGTAAATCAGTTCATGTTTAAAGCTGATTTCCTAAACTTCAATACCCTAGTCTTCCCCTACTTAAATAAAATAGGTATTTACTTCTTATTTAATGATAGTGTAACTTTGGGCAGTGTAGTTAATATCTCTGACCCTCAGTTGTATCATCTGTCAAATGGGGATAGGAATATTTCCCTGACTTGTTTGAGAGAAATAAATGAGTTTAAACCTGAACAGGGACCAGGCTGGAGCTCAGTACATATTAGACACTCAATGGATGAATGTTTCTCCCTTTGAAGGCTCTAGAGTCAATGGCTAAAATTTGTATTAAACATCCTTTTCCAGTCACCAGGAAACCAAAATTAGCACTTCATAGTATTTGGTAGTGGCTTATTCTGGGTTGCTTTAAAAAGTTTCTAACTACTTTGGATTTATAGGCAACTCATATCCCCAGTGAGACCACGCTGCTTTCTCAGTCCAGATCTTTTCAAGTTATGAAATCATCCTTTATGAGGAAATGATAATTTAGTTCAGTGCTTGTTATAGACATGTGGAAGAGCTCAGATTTCATAACCATATCAATATTCACTCATTCACTTATTCAAGGAATACTTATTGAGTACCTGCTATGTTCTCAATAATTTTCAGATAGTTTTCTAGGCTCTACAAATAGAGCCTAGAGTTATTAAAATAAGCCAAAGAGAAAAAATTCTGCTCCAGTGGAAGTAGTTGTCTATTCTTAAGTGTAAGAAGGGTATAAAACTTGGTCTTTATTTTTTTTAAAAAAGACCAAGTTTTATTTATATCTGGATATTTCAAGAACTCTTACCTTCCTGCCCCCAGAAATCATCAAGGTATGTTATTTGGGTTCTAGTTAGTGCTATAAATTCTAGTCATTTAATTGTTTGCCTCTCACACATCCTCAAATGGGAGCCTGGCCCACAACCCAGGCATGTGTCCCCATAGGGAATTGAACCGGTGACCTTTCAGTTTGCAAGCTGACACTCAATCTTCTGATCCACACCAGCCAGGGCTAAATTCTGGTCATTTAAATAGCTATAAAGCACAAGAGGAAAACATGAATAAAGATTACTTTGACATTTAAGCTAACTACATTTTTCTTATCCTTTAAAAGTCTATTTATTTAAAAAATATGTTTATCATCTTTTACCAGACCTTCAGCTAAGTCTGGGGATACAAAACTAGACATGATAGTTCCTGTTCTGAGCAGTTTATGGTCTGTGGGTGGAACCAGTGGCTGAGGAAAGTGAATACCAACAAGTAACTGTCAAAATATGTGATCATGAACATAAAGGACCAATTTTTAAGGGAAAGTAAGGGAGTTTTCATAGAGAAGATGATAAATGTAAAAAAACCCCCTCACATTGCCTTGGCTGTTGTGGTTCAGTTGGTTGGAGTGTCATATCGTAGACTGAAATGTTGTGGGTTTGGTTCCCAATCAGAACACATACCCAGGTTGCAGGTTTGATCCCCGGTAAGGGCACATGTGAGAAGGCAACCAACTGATGTTTCTCTCTCTCTGTTCCTCTATCCCTAAAAGCAACAACAAAAAAAATGTCCTCAGGTAAGGGAAAAAATAAAAACTTCTTGTTAATCCATTCCTAAGTCATGTTTATTTTAAAGTTCCTTTTTAAGATCCATTTCTAATGTTCTCAAGAGTGTTAAGATCTGAGCTGTTTCAATCATGAGATCTGCTGTTCCTTCTTTCTCTATTTACAGCTGTGGCCAGTGTCATCGATGAAAACATTAAGCTGTGCAGGAGACTGATCATCATCATAGTTCCTGAACTGCTGGGCTTTGACATATTAAAGAACATGTCAGAAGAACAAATTGCTATCTACAATGCTCTCATTCGGGATGGGATGAAGGTCATTTTAATTGAAGTGGAGAAAGTAAAAAACTATACAGTTATGCCAGAGTCAATCCAGTACATCAAACAGAAGCATGGGTCTGTCCATTGGAGTGGAAACTTCACAGAGGAGTCACTGTGTGCAAAGACCAAGTTCTGGAAAAAAGTGAGATATTGTATGCCACCCAAAAGGTTTCCACCATCTTCTCATACCTAGCTGCTGAAGCACAATCCCTGTGACCTCACAGCTGATAACTGATGTGCCAGCACAGGGTTATTTACCCTGTGATGCAGGTTGTCTGTGGGAAGTGGCTCACATTTGGACAAGAGGCACTGCATTCAGGCCATCTGCTTGAAGTTTGTTATTGTGTACTTGTGTGAAGAACTGTGCTTGTTTGCTTATTTTGATCAGACATACATCTTTAGAAAAAGATATCAGCTCTAAAGAAGGCCCTCATTAACTTATTGGCTCAGAACACTTATGAATATTTGCTGAACATAGACCAGCATTAGCATTTGAGCCCCTGAGGAATAGGACACAGGGAATTTCAGAGTTTAGTTCAGATGTCAGGAAGTTGGCACATGGTGTGGTACCTGTAGGGCCAGAGATGGGAGCCTGAATAGCCAGAGGATGGCAGGAAGGGAGTCTGTGGGCTTGGAGAGGGCTGGCAAGGATAATGGCAGTTTTTGTACCTGATCAGTGTGCACAGGACCCTAGTACTCAGCAGAAACTTACTGTGTCTATGAGCCTTTCTTACTCCTCTAGTGTAAATAAATAACCATGACCACAGTCTTAGCAGGGTGAGACTGGAAATGAGTCAGAGATCATCTAGACCAGTGGAAACAACAATGGCGACACTGGAATTGCCCATTAATCTCACTCCTGGTGGGTCCCATGCTTTGAAAGACTTTATCTTTCAAACCAAAATAACTTATAATTCACTTATTTTTCCAGCTGGCCTATGTCAGCCACAATTCTGAACAACATGTGACAGACATGGTTATCAACCCGAGATGATGTCATTGTAGTCCAAGTAAAACAAAGTAATCTTTCAGCTAGTCCATGCACCTTCATCATAGGTTAATTTATGACTTCACAAGTCTCAAAGACTTTTATTACTAAAAAATAGCTGTAAACTCTTGTCACAACTTTCAGAGACCCTAATTTGAAGAGTAGATATAGTCCAATGCTCCTTCTGTGGTTAACTGCACTAAGCCTTATAAAGTGGCCTGCTAAGATATAAAATTAATATTCTGGAATTGGTGGCATTTTTACATACCTATAGTGAACTCTCAGAAAGAGAAACAAATAAAACAATTCCATTTATAATTGCAACAAAAAACATAAGATGCCCAGAAATAAATTTAACCAAGGAGGTGAAAGATCTATACTTAGCAAATTATAAGATACTGAAAGAAAGAAAAGGAAAAAGATACAAATAAGTGGAAGCATATACTGTGTTCATGGGTAGGAAGAATTAACATTACTAAAATGTCCACTCTATCCAAAGCAATCTACACATTCAACACAATTTTTGTCAAAATACTAATGATGTGTTTCATAAATCTAGAACAAATATTCCAAAAATTTATATAGAACCACAAAAGACCCCAAATACTACCCAAAGCAATCAATAGATTCAATGAAATTCCTATTATAATACCAATGGCACATTTCAAGATATAGAACAAGTATTCCGAAAATTTATACGGAACCCCAAAAGACCCAAATAGCCTCAGCAATCTTGAGAAAGAAGAACAAAGTTGGAAGTGTCAGAATACCTGATATCAAACTGTGTTACAAGGCTATTATAATCAGAACAGATTGGAACTAGCATAAGAACAGGCATATAGATCAACGGAACAGAACGAAGAGCCCAGAAATAAATCCGTGACTTTATGGTCAATCAAATTTGACAAAGGAGGCATGAGCATACAATGGAGTAAAGATGGTCTCTTTAATAAGTGGCATTGAGAAAATTGGACAGGGACATGCAAAAAAAAATGTAAGTAGAACCAACATATACCATACAAAATAATAAACTCAAAATGGATAAAAGACTTAAATGTAAGTCACAAAGCCATAAAAATCCTAGAAGAAAACATAGGCAGTAAAATTTCAGACATCTCTTGTAGCAATATTTTGCCTATGTCTTCTAGGGCAAGGGAAAGAAAGGAAAAAATAAATAAATAGGACTAGATCAAATTTAAAAGCTTTTGCACAGCTAAAGAAACCATCAACAAAATGAAAAGGGAGACCACTAAATGAGAGAACAAATTTGCCAATGACACATCTGATAAGGTGTTAATTAAAAAAATATATAAAGAACTTATAGAACTCAATATCAGGAAGACAAACAACCCAATTTAAAAAATGGGCAAAGGACCTTAGTAGACACTTCTCCAAAGAGGATATACAGTGCCCAACAGACATATGAAAAGATTCTCAACACCACTAGCCATCAGAGAGATGCAAATTAAAATCACAATGAGATATCACCTCACATCTGCCAAAATGGCTACCATCAATAAGTCAACAAATAACAAGTGCTGGCGAGGATGTGGAGAAAAGGGATTTCTAGTGCACTGTTGGTGAGAATGCAGACTGGTGCAGCCACTGTGGAAAACAGCATGAAGTTTCCTCAAAAAATTAAAAATGAAACTGCCTTTTGACCCAGCAATTTCACTTCTGGGAATATATCCTAAGAATGCCAAAACACCAATTTGAAAAAATATATGCACCCCCATGTTCAATGCAACATTATTTTCAAAAGCCAAGATTTGGAAACAGCCCAAGTGCCCATTAGTAGATGAATAAATAAAAAAACCTGTGGTATTCTGCAATAGAATACTACAGAACAATAAGAAACTCTTACCTTTTGTGACAGCATGGATAGACCTGGGGATTATTATTCTTAGGTGAAATAAGTCAGTCTGAAAAAGACAAATACCATATGATCTTACTTATATGTGGAATGTAATGAACAAAATAAACTGACAAACAAAACAGAAACAGAGGCATGGGTACATGGAACAGACTGATGGCTGTTAGAGGGGAGGGGGCAGAGTGGGTCTGGATAAAAGAAGGTAAAAGGATTAGCCAAAGAATGTGTATGCATAACCCATTGACACAGACAACAGTGTGGTGATGGCCAGAGGAAAGGGAATTGGGGGTTAGGGCCAGGGGAAGGTGGGCACAGGGAAGGAAAATGAAGCCACCTGTAATCATGTAAACAATAAAAATAAAGTAAAAAAATAAATAAAATAGGAATTGTTTAAAAATTTTATTTTTCAATTAAAATTTATATTCAATCTTCTTTTATGTTTGAAAAATTTTTAAATGTCCCCAAATAGCCTCAGAAATCTTAAGAAAGAAGAACAAAGTTGTTGGAGGTATCATGCTACCTGATATCAAACTATACTACAAGGCCATAGTAATCAAAACAGCATGGTGCTGGCATAAGAACAAGTATTAGATCAATAAAATAGATTAGAGAGCCTAGAAATCAACCCAAGACATTATGGTCAATTAATATTTGACAAAAGAGGCAAGAACATATAGTTGGGGTAGACAGTTCATTCAATAAATGGTGTTGGGAAAATTGGACAGGTACATGCAAAAAAAAAAAAAAGAAAGAAAGAAAGAGAGAAAGAAAGAAAAAGAAACTAGACCACCTCCTTATATCTTACACAAGAATAAACTCAAAATAGATTAAAGAATAAAATGTAAGACTTGGAACCATAAAAATCCTAGAAGAATACATAGGCAGTAAAATCTTAGACATTTCTGCTAGTATTATTTTTCTGATATATCTCCTCAAGCAAGGGAAGCAACAACAAGAATAAACTAACAAATAGGACTATATCAAAGTAAAATGTTATTGCACAGCAAAGAAAACCATCAACAAAATGAAAAGACAACCCCCTGAATGGGAGAACATATTTGCCACTGATACATCGAATACATTCAAAATTTATAAAGAACTTCTATAATTAACACCAACCTTCCCTTGCCCCCAAACAATCCAATTTAAAGATGAACAAAGAACCTGAATAAACACTTTTCCAAAAAAAGACTTATAGATGACCAACAGACATATGAAAATATGCTCAGCATCACTAATTATCAGAAAAATGCAAATGAAAATCACAACAGCATATCATCTCATATCTGTCAGAATAGCTATCATCAATAAAGCAACAAACATCAAGTCTTAATGAGGTTGTGGACAAAAAAGAGCCCTCATGCACTGTTGGTGGGAATACAGATTGGTGCAACCACTGTGAAAACAGTATGGATATACCTCAAAAAGTTAAAAATGAAGCTGCCTTATGACCCAAGTAGTCTCCTTCTGGGAATAAATCTGAAGATACCCAAAACACTGATTTGAAAGAATATATGCACTCCTATGTTCATTGCAGCATTATTTAAAACATCCAAGATATGGATGTGGCCCAAGTGCCCATCTGTAGATGAGTGGATAAAAAAGCGGTGGTACATTTACATGATGGAATACTACTCAACCATAAAAAGAAAATGTTACATTTTGGGACAGCACAGACGGACCTAATGAGTATTATGCTAAGTGAAATAAATCAGTCTGAAAAAGACAAATACCATACGATCTTATTTATATGTGGAATGTAATGAACAAAATAAACAAACAAAAAAGCAATAGACTCATAGAACACACTGACAGCTGTCAGAGGGAATGAGGATTGGGGGGATGAGTGAAAAAAATGAAGGGATTAAGCAAAGAAAAATTGGCCTGCTATAGTCAGAATGTTCATGTCCCACCAAATTCACATGTAATCCTAACACCCAATATCACAGTATTATTTGTTGGGCCCTTTGGCAGGTGATGAGGTCATAAAGGAGGAGCCCTTATGAATAGTTAGTGCTTTTATAAAAGAGCCCTGGAGAGCTTCCTTGCCCCTTCTGCCATGTGAGGACACAGTGAGAAGTCTGCTACCAAGATGAGGGCTGTCACCTGATCATGCTGATGGCCTAATTGCAGACCTCCAGCTTTCAGAAATGTGAGAAATACATTTCAGTTCTTTGTAGGCCATGCAGTCTATAGTATCTTGTTTTAGCAGTCTAAACGGAGTAAAGCATGACCCTAATAGTAGGGCCTGGAAGGGCATCTGCTCATGGGTGGGACAGGAGATGAAGGCAGGGCCTAGGGGAGTGGGAGGGGTGGGTGAGGTGGGAGAACAGTGAAGGAAAAGCTGGATGTATTATGGGGAACAGGTTCAGGTAGTTGTGGTGGACCCTTCTTCACAGGCTATGGATGGTTTGGAGCATCTGGTGGGATGTTAAATGATAAGAAGCATATTTTGGACTTTAAGATTTTATGTTATACAAAGCAGAGTTGAACATTCTGTAACACTTCTCATTGATTCTATTAATTTTAGAGATGGCCTTTCACATTGCTCAGTGGTCCAAGTAGAAATGACAGTAAAAAGATTTCATTATATAAAAAAAGAATTTATTTTGCAAGGTGACCTAGTGTTGCATATTTGTTTTCCATCCTTTGCAGGTCCTAACTTGACATCTAGTCACTTTTTATTTTATTTAATATTTGCTCTTTAATTTTTTTAAATAGTGGTAAAATACATGTAACACAAAATTTATCATCCCAACTATTTCTAAGGGTGAAGTTCAGTGGCATCAGCACATTCACATTGTTGTACAACAATCAGCATTATCTGTGTCCAGAACTTTACATCTTCCCACACTGGAATTCTGTCCTCATTAAACACTAATGCTCCATTTCCCTCTCTCCCCACCTCTTAGCAATGTCCTACCTTCTGTGTCTATGAATCTGACTACTCTGTGTACCTCATATAGGTGGAATCCTACAGTGTTTATCCTTTTGTGACTGGCTTATTTCACTTAGCATAATATCTTCAAGGTTAATCCATACTATTTGCTTTTTGTTTCATTATTCTTGCCTAGTGCTCCCCTCTCTTTTTCCTGTCTTTCCCCCACCTCTTAAAGGGTGCAGTGAGAAGGAAATAGAAGTACTCCTATTTTACTAACAGGGCAAGGGCCAACCCACAGAAGTAATGAGCTCACTAGGGTTCTTCTCAATGGTTGTTTGTAAATTCTTTGCATCTTGGTTTATCTCTCCAATGTGGGCATCATAATTCCTCATGGAAAATGCGTCAATTTAAGTAAAATGAGCTGTTACTCATGTTGAATCCAAAAGCAAAATGCTGGCCACTGGTGTGACCCTCAGCCCCACTCCAGCTTTTCTTCTCTGGTTAGTGTCTGGAGG